TTGGGTTTCAGTAATTCCTCGCTGTTACATTGCCCTTGATTAAGCACCACTAGGCATCCTACGCGCTTCTCTCCATTGATTTTAGTTCACTTGTTGTTTCGCTGTCCCTGGGTTAGTTGACACCCACCTTTCTTTCTCCCACCTTTCCTTTTCCTGTGTCCCCCCAGACCTGTCCATCATGTTGTTTTCTTCTCTGAATTGTTTATCCTGCCTATGTTATCTTATCTAGATAGACATGCAAAGACCTTACTAAGCGCAGAAACAAGGCAAAGCCAAACAAAATAATGAAGGAAGACAAAACAAACAAAAACCAAAATAACAACAAAAAAGAAAGCCAATGACAAAAAAGGAAAAGCCTATAAATAGTTCCAGGTCTGTTTTTTGACCCAGTGTTTTCCAGTTGAGTCTGATAGGGTGCTATACTTTGTCCCCAAAGTCTATTTTTGGTATTCCCTGGGGACATCATTGTTCTGTTCCCCTTGCTGCTCTGTTTCTTGCCCTTAGTGTTTCGCCAGTGTGATGGGGTCAGATTGGGCACAATTCCCACAGTGTCTCCAGTGTTGTCCCCCATAGTACTATGGTTCAGTGAAGGATGTCGTGTCTCGTGCTGGGGTAGGTCTTATGGTCCTTTTTGTGCAATGTCTGCTCTGATCAGGAATATCATCCTCGGGGCTTGGTGGGACAGTGTGTGTTCCACTCACTCTCCTTCCCTCTTGGTTTCTCCTGTGTTCTCTGATCAGATGTGCCCCTCTCTCCAAGTTGTAGCTTCAGTGCTGTCCTCTGAAGTGCGGTGGGGTGGGGAGTGTGGGGGTCCACATAGTTCGGATTGGGGCTGACCCTGCAGATCCCTTACTATTTCAACCTGAGGCTTGTATTTTTCTTCAGGCCTTTTAGTTTGAGAAATTCCATGCATGTTTTAGGAACTAGAAGAAAGAAACTCATTCAACTTTCCATAGCCAAACTACCAGCCCACTGACAGCTGAACCTATACTCTGCTCTCAATCTTGTTTTTATGAATGAAGTATCTCTGCTTCCATCAAAGGCCAACCCTGGGGCTTGGGCTTGAAATCTTAACCTCTCTGACCTGGTCAAGGATCTCATTGCTACAATTCTCTTTCTTTCCAATGTCATCAGTTTATTTCCTTCTTCCAGAACAGATCCTTTGGCATAAAATCATGCTCTTGAATCTTGAATCTAAAAAAGATCAGCTAGGACAAGGAAAACCTCTCCCTTGATTTTACCTCCACCTCCAGCCCTCCAGCCTCTGTCTCATTTCCCTTCTCAACTCATTGAACATTTGTACAGCTGGCTCTTTCTTATCCTTCAGGTCTCAGTTTAAATGTCACATTCTCAAAGAACCCCTTGATCATTCTATATGAAGTAGCCACCCATTGGCTTTCTAGCATATCAATTCCTGCAAAGTGTTGATCAGTATCCGATATCTTTCTTGTTTACTTGCTTTGTGTTTGCTTTTCCTCGTTAGCACCACAGCTCTCGGAACGGGAGGAATTTGTGTGATCTGTTCATTGTTGTACACCCAGGACTTTGAACAGTGCCTGGCCACATTTGGTGGTCAATAAATGTCTACAACTTCCTGGTAGGCCGTATAGTGATCTCCTACTACTTTGTCCCTGGCTCACATCGACCTGCTTCAATATGCCGGATTCACTCCTTGCATTTACGTCTTCCTCCTGAACAGATCAGCTATCCACATGGTTCTCTCCCTCACGTTCTCCAGGTTTCTGGTCCAAAGTTCTTATTCAGGCTTTTCCTGATCACCCAGTTTAAAGTTGCAATCCACACTCTCTATCCCTTTTCTTGTTAAATTGTGTCCAATTTGTTGTTAGGTGTCATCGAGTCGGTTCAGCCTCATAGCAACCTGAAGCACAACAGAACTAAACACTGCTGGGGTCCTGCGCCATCCTCGCAATTGTCCCTATACTTGCCTATTGTTTCAGCCACTGTGTCAATCGATCTCGCTGAGGGTCCTCTCCACAGAACGCACCAATTTCTTTCTTTTCTTTTTTTTTTTTGAGAACGCACCAATTTCAATGTACGATTTATTTTATTGTCTGCCATTGCTCATCCCCTGAAGGCGCTGCTGTCTTCCTAGGACCACAAAGAGAGTCTAGCGCAAAAGAATACATATGTATTAAATGTATGACTTTGTGGAGTAAAAGTAAAACGGATGATCGGGTACGAAGTTCTTGGGACGTGTAGGATACCTCACCAGGGCTAGTCAAATGACCTGTGTTAATAAATAACAGCAGTCCTCGCGCTCGTGTTCTTCACAGAGCTGCACACAATACGGCGCCCCACGAGAGCTGGTCTGAGTCGCTCGCTGCGGGTGAGCGGGTGGGTCGGGTCGTTCACGCCAGCAGCCGCTAGCCCCGCCCTCCCGGCCCCGCCCCGCCCCGCCCCGCGGCGGCCCCGCCCCCGCCCCCGCCTGCTCATGCCCTTATACGCGAGTGACGTCAGGCCGTTTGTTGTCATTGGCGGCTCCCAAGATGGCGTCCATCATGGAGGGGCCGCTCAGCAAGTGGACTAACGTGATGAAGGGCTGGCAGTATCGCTGGTTCGTGCTGGACTACAATGCGGGGCTGCTCTCCTACTACACGGTGAGGGCCCAGCGCGCGGCTCTGCGGGAGCCCGTGGGGCTCCTTGGGGGGTGGGGGTGCGCCGTTTCGGGGAGCGGGTTGAGGTTGCTAGGCTCGGGGTGCCGCCGTACGAAAGGGGTTCCCTCGTGGAGGAGGGTTTTGCACCCAGATGGCCAATGAAGGTGAAGGAGATGCGGGATCAGCCAATGAGCAGGCACTGGCTGGCTGCTTTCTGGGTTTCTTTTTGAGGGTCCCGAGTGAAGCGGGGTCGGGCGGGAGGGGTGGCAGGCGAGCCGAGGGGGCCGGAGCTGTGGGTCACGGGCCGGGTCACGCGGCGTGGGCCGTGTCTCCCGAAGTCGTGGACTTCACCCTGTCTCCCCAGGCCCCGTGGGCGGCCGCGCCCCTCTCGCTGGCTTCCAGGGACTGGAGAACGCCGCCGAGCCGCCCGCGGCCGCGGGGCCCTCGCTCTCCGTTCAGGGCGGGCAGCGTCATCTGTGCCTTCACCTGTGAGAGCGGAGGGTGTCCTCCTACACGAGAGAGCGTCGGGTCAGCAGAGAGAGAGGCACAGTGCGATGTCATCGCAAAGGTGCATGCTGTAGAGAGCCGAGTGGAGTCAGTGGCCAGGGACGGACAAGTCGTCGAATTGCTGTGTATCTTATATTCTGACTGTCCCCTCCACCCCCGTCACATTAGAAATGGAGGGTGGGTGGTAATAGGGATAAATTACTTCCAAAAGTACTTTCTCTGGATGATAGGTAGTTAATAATAGCTAATGAGAGGGAGAAAACCACTTCATAGGGCAGAATAGGATGTCCTGAAGGCTTTGGAAAATAATAGAACACAGAAGGGCGTGGGGGCAGGGGTTATGGAAGAAGGCTTAGTATTGTTGGAGTAGATGTGTATTAACTAATTACAATTTTTATTGTGCACCTACTATGTGTTAATTATTGTTTCAGGCTAAATGCTCAGATGCATGTGTGTGTGTGTGAGAGAGAGAGAAAGAGAGAGCGCCCGCGAGAGAGAGCGCTGCATACGTATATAGGAGCAAGAAGAGAGATGCAGACGTTCACTGTTTTTGCCTCTTGGAGCTTATATTTTAGTCTAGTGGGACCCCTAATTTTTTTTCTTACAATCTGTGAAGTAGGCGTTTATTATCCCTATTTTATATTCCCATTTTACATTTTTGGAACCTGAGACTCTAGGCTTTAAAATAATTTGCTCAAGATCATGTAGCTTGCAGAAAGGGATGTCAGAATTCAGATTTTTTTGAGTTGTCAGACTGTTCACAAAATTTCACTTTTACTCTAAATAAACCCTCCAAACTTAGGCCATCAAGTTGTTTCTGACTCATAGCGACCCTAACTGCCTCTGTAGGTTTCAGAGACTGGAACTCTTTATGGGAGTAGAAAGCCTAGTCTTTCTTCCTCAGAGTGGCTGGTGTTTTTGAACTGCTGATCTAGAGGTTAGCAGTCCAACTCGTAACCATTATGCCAACAGGGCTGCACTTTCCTTAGAAGAAGGAAAAATGTGATAACTGTGAGTTATTAAAGACACACCTGCAAGAATGAAAAGTATTAATTTCAACATCCCTTCAACTATCAGTTTTTCTCTACATAATTCTTCAAGGGAAAAAAGAGGCAGTTTGGCAGTTGTACCTTGAAATCGGGAATTATGAAATCATATGGCTCAGGTACATGAGTAATACTGAGTGTCAGATAATGTGATAGTCAACCTATTTAATATCACGTAATTTCAGTGAGTAATTTGAAATTAAATTATGAATCTCATTATTTGTGTGGGTCTGAATCTAGGATCACTTTCGGGAAGGGGTGGGGAATAATACACTGCCATTTAATTGCTTCCACATCAGAGTGATCCTATAGGACAGACTAGAACTGCCCCTATGGGTTTCTGAGACTTGTATTCCTTAAGGAAGTACATATCCTAATCTTTCTCCCGCAGAGCAGCTGGTGGGCTCAAACCACCGACACCAGGGCTCCTATGAGCCTTATTGAGTTTTAGGTGGAATTCTTGGGAATATGGATTCTTTCTTTTTCCTGTTTTTTCCTACCTTTAGTCTGTCATTTTTCTGCCTCCTCACCTTTTCAGTTCCTGAGTACTTGGACAGATCTTTCCTTAGTTCTTAACAGTAGATCTTTCCACTAGTTCTTAAGAGTAATGGTTTTTACATACTTTGAATTCACCCCCCACCCCCACACATTCCCCTTACTGTTTCTCTTCCCTTCTGAGGCTACAAACTAGATTGTAAAATACCGGTCTTGCCAGGGGAAGGAGGTATCATATTTCTCACTAATGGCTATTTAGAAGTGGTGTTTTCTTCTTCTATGTAAAAGTATTTGCTTGTAGAACGACAGAGCAATATGTACCATTTTGTGAAAATAAACTGATAAAAACTTCATGGGGCCCCATGAACAGAGTGGAATTGCTCCATAGAGTGTGTATGTGATATTTATTGATCACTGGCCTTTCATCTGTGGCACTGCTGGGTGCATTTGGACCACCAGTTATTTAGGTTAGGGCAATAGTCAAATGCAAGCCCAGTTCCTGAGCAGAACAGGTTCAGAGAAGACAGACACAGAATAGACATTTCCCTAAAGGCAAAGTGGGAGACACCTGAATTCAACTTCTGCGCTGTAGTCACAATCCAGGAGAAAGTACGCCCATCCTGGATTGTTCTAGCGTCCCCATGGGGTGGTGCCACTGCTTTGGGAAACACTGCTGCAAATCTTCATGGGAGCTGAGAGCCTCAGCCTTTTCCCATGGAGCATTTGGTGGGTTTGAACTGCTAACTTTTTGGTGAGCAGCCCAATGTGTAACTTGTGACTGCTCCAGCTCCTAAAACTTAGGTTTAGATTATTGAGCATGTGGGTATGGACAAAAAACTCTGTGGCAAATATGAGCTTTATCCATATGGAGAGTTGAGACAATGAGTGGAAAGAGCAGAAGGCCTTGGCTAGGACTCTGAGAAACACTGAATTTGTTATCTATTGATGCGCAACAAGTTGTATCAAAATATAGCATCTTGAAACAACAGACATATGAGGTGACTTCAGAAAGTTTAGGGGAAAACGGATCGAAGAGATCATGAACTTTTTGAAGCCCCTCTTTGTATATTATCAACTGGTCTCTGGGTCAGGAATTTGGGGTGGTTTAGCTGAGTGGTTGTGGCGCAGGGTCGTCCATGAGGTTGCAGTCAGGGTATTGCTCAACGTTGCTGAAAGGAAGGAAGAAGCTGCAATACCTTTTATGACTTAGTCTCAGAAGTCCCAGATCATTCATTACTTCTGCCTTACTGTGGTCATTAGTCACCGCAGCTCAGAGGGAGAAAGACAGGGCTTTCTTCTCCTGTGAAGAGTTACAGTTCTGGAAACTCAGAGAGGCAGTTTCACCCTGTCCTATAGTATAGGGTCGCTGTGAGTTGGCATTGACTAGATGGCAGTGAGTTTTTGGCTTTTTTTTTTTTTTAAAGGAATACCAAAGAATTTGTGAGCAGATTTTAAACAACCACAATTGCACTTAAGGATTAAGCAGAGGGGAAAATCTTGCATAGAGACCGAAATCAAAGGTGTAATAGAAAAATACAGAAGAATGTGGCAGTCATGGGAGCCTAAGAGGGAACAGTGAGTTATCTTGAATACTGGTGAGCGGATTGACTGATGAGATCTAAAATTAATCCTTTGGAATGATTCAATTTGGACATTATTGATGGCCTTCGATTAGTTTCTGTGGAGTGGTTGGTAGGTGTGGGAAAGGCTTATCGAAGTGACTTGAAGCATAAACAGGAGGTAAGAAGTAGAAACAGTGAGTGGGGATTACTGATGATATTTGGCTATGAAAAGGGCAAAGAAGTTCTAGGGAATTGAAGGGACTGCTTCATAAGACAAGAATATGATTAAATGTTGTAGTGAGGGGAGCAATATTAAAAATGAGGATAGGGTTAATGAGTGTGATGTACCTTCTTCTAACTTATTGGCTATCTCGTTATCCAGCATTTTACATTTACAACAATAGTAAAAGAATCTGCTGATTATGCATCATTACCTGGTATTTGGAACCTAACTATCCTGTAAGTGAGGAGGGCATAATGATTTAGAACAATGGCCCTGGACAACTGGAAAAACTCCTAACTAAGGGCAAGTTGGAGCCCTGGTAAGTAGGTTATGAGTGGGCTACTAACTGTAAGGTGAGCAGTTTGCAACCACCAGCCACTCCTTGATAGAAGAAGCTTAATGCTGCTGTAAAGAGTTGCAGTCTTGGTGTGTTAGGCTGGAGAAACAAATCCAGTGATACTCATATATGTGTAAGAAAAAGCTTTATATTAAGACGCTTTACATTTCAGGAGAACAAGCCCAGCCCAGTCCAACTCAAGTCCATAAGTCTGATACTAGTCCATAAATCCCTTTTCAGACTCATGTAGTCACAAGCAATGATGTAGAATGCAGGAATATCACAGGCCTGTGGGTGCAAAGTCTTGTGGATCCAGTGGCAGTGGATGTATCTCCAGGGCTCTAGCTACAATCAGGGTCTCAGAGTGGCTTCAATGGGAAGGTAAAAGCAGCAGAGTGGAGTGGAGAGAGAAGGTCCCCAGGAATCTCCTTAGGAAAAGACCATGTCCACAAGGAGTCACCATCAGGCTGTGACCTGATTGACAGCCTAGACTCCACCCCTACACTTTTATATATCAGGTTGACATGAAATTATGTAACTACCACATTTGGAAACCCATGGGGGCAGTTCTACTCTGTTCTATAGGGGTCACTATGAGTCAGAATCAACTTGATGGCAAAAGGGGAGGGCAAAAGTTAAGGGTTAATCAGGTTGTGTGGAGAATTAATTGAGATTATAAAATGTGTTTTAGTCATGATCCAGGAATCTTTAACTTTTCTTGATTATTTTTTTATTTTAAATAACATTTTGGAGAGAAAATCAGAAGCAGTGAAACAATAAATTACGTGGGCTACTCTAAGTAGCTTGGAAAAGGAGTTATTTGTGAAATCAGG